CCTACCCTGACCTTGATTGGCTTATCAAGTGAGCTCATCCTCAGAGCTGAAGTGTAGTCAGTCAGAGAAACAGTGTGACAACATGCCAGGACAGCACTGTAAGCTCTCTAGAGGGCACCGGGCCATTGTCTGTTCCCTTCTGTCTCCAGTGCTTCCCATGATAAAGAGGACAGGTGACATACTAGAAGATGGATTCTGACAAATCTATATTTGAGACTTAGAGCTGCTACTTACTGTGTAACTGAACTTTCAGATTGGTTAAAATTGCAGTTCCCCACTCACCTCATTTGTTAAACAGTTATTGATTTCTACATTTTAATTTGATTGTACAATGGCATTGAAACATATGTGAGTGGAGCCCAGCACATGGGCTTGGCTCAGAGTATTCAATAAATAGTCGTCATTTTCCTTTACAGTGAGAAAAGGAATGGGAGATAAACTCACTAATCATACGTGTCACATGTTTACTGACAGCTCTATCCCAGTGAGTCATTATTTATCAAAGATAATACCCCTAGCAGAGCAAGGACCTCTGGAATGCTGAACCTAATGGATATTCTTCCATTAGAGAAGAAGCATCAGCACGGGGTAGCTTTGACTGTGAAGAACCCAGTGAGAACTAAGTGAGCTAGAATGTTATCATGGGAAAATTTCAAACATAATAGAGATGCTGGATGAGGAAAATTCTTTAATTACATTAGTTATGATCTCCTACTAAAATCAGAAAGAAAAAACAGAAACCTAAAACATTGTGTTTAATTTTTAGATTATGCATCCTTATAGATTTCTTTTTTCTTTATTTGGCTTTATCTTCCCAATTTTGATTTTCAGGTAAGTTGATGTGTAAATCTAAAGTTTCCATGGTAGGACAAGAGTGACTAGGGAAAACAATATCCTGATTCTTTCACCAAAATATAATATGACACACATGCTCATGACAATTGGGTCTCATGTAGTAACATCACATTGTTATTAACTGCAAAGGTGGCTTGGAATAGAGTTGTAGCTTTTCCAGTACCACTTTTCGGATATACAAATTAACTCTAGAAAGCAACTCCATTACATATATGCCACCACCTCATGAATAGAATTTGTTTTAACTCTTATTGATTAAATCCTTAGGTGACAATGTAGTTAACCTCATTGAATCAAAATATTATAAATAATTATTTAGATTATTATTAATAATAGACCTAATTACTGACAGCATCTACACTAAACAAACAAACAAAGAAGATATGCTGCAAGTAAGTATAATCTGTGATTTTAAAAAAATCAGGAAGGATTTTCATGGAATGAAAGAAAGGCAATGTTAAGCAGACAATACCAAAGTTGTGGATATATGGATCTCATGTGCAAAGGAAGAGTATTGTGGCCAATGCCATTTTACTCATTTCTTTTAGAAAAACATTCTGTTAAGGAATGGGATGAGAACACAGGCCAAAGAGCCACATGGATCAAGATAGGCTATGGCAGCAGAAGATGCTTACAAACTTCAACAGGGAGTGCTTCACTAGTGGAAGTAAAGGAACGGTAAGGATTAAGAAATTACATTAATCCGTATTTACTATTTCAAGAAAAACATGTTTGCACATTCCTCTTTATACAAGGGGAAATTGTTTATGTATTAGTTGTGATATGACTTTTAAAAAGCAGGTATTATCAATTGTTTGCAATTAGAAAAGGGGGGGAGTGTTGGAGAGTTCAGAACTTGATAGCACACACACACACACAGACAGCAGGAAGCATAACTAGGTGAATGTCCATTGTTTGGGTGATTTCTTCTTTCCATACTGAGGTAATGATAGGGAAGTTTGAAATTTCCCAGGTGAAACAATATTATGGAACATGGAGGAAAAGAAGCAGAGAATTGAATATTTTCTTCTCAAGGAATAAGGACTAATGATTACATCTAATTTATTTACTTTAGTGTTTCAAAGCATTTTTCTTCTTACCTCCATTTCATAAATAAAGTATTTCTCAAAATATATCAGTTAAATAAGTAGATGAGTGGACCTAGTTATAAGATATAGTACCTTACCACCTACTGCTTCCTAGGACTTAAAGTTCCATAATTAGACATGCATATGACTTTCTGCTGGAACACAAACACTCATCAACTCCCATTTACAGTAATTGTACCTTTTTTGTGAATGACTTTGTCATTTGTTTCCAGGAAACTGCTTTCTATCTCTGCAAGGAGCATCCTTATAATGAAGTGGGGGACATAATGATGGTGAGAGATTGTCAGGAGGAAAAAGAAGAGGCTGAGTGATCAAGTCTTTGCTATTATGCTTAGACAATATTCTGTTGCATCACTTTATAAAAGAACATTGTAGAGAAAAGACTTCTAGCTAATGGCTTGCATTTGCAAGTTCAACAAGGTTGATATTTTCCAAGCAATCAGTTACATGAAAGTGCACATGTTGTATGGACCTGAGGGTCAATAATTACATCTGCTGCCTGTGCTGTGTCTCCCTCATACACGTGGCATCCCTTAATCTTACATGAGTAGTGTCACTTCTCCTGATACCAGAAATAGAGCTATTTGTACCATGAGGCATGAAGGTAATTCTTGTTCTAATCCATTTTGCAGATTTGACAGTGACATCAAAGATCAAGAAGTCTGTAAGTAATGGCACTGCTCATTTGTTTAAATGTCAAATCCAAACCTCACCATCTTTCAGGGAATATGTCAGTAAAGCATGCGCTTCAGTTCACCAAGAGATTTCAGTGTTATTCAGTTGTATTTCAGTCCTGAGGGATCAGTATCTAGAGACTAGAGTTCTTTGGGTAAACCTTTATTTTAAGCTAAATGGAACTGATGGAACTGGGTATTTAAAGACTTGAGGCTGTGGACAGTGCTGTCTTCACTGACATTATGAAGTAACTCCAGTGTAAACAATATATATATATATATATATATATATATATATATATATATATATATCTGAACTATGCAATCAGGCCTTGAAGACTTTATCACAGAGTCTATGCAAAGCAAACTGAATACATCAATAAGGACACATTTATCACAGATATTACATCTAAAATAAAATTGGGGGAGGAAATTGGTGATGGTTTATAGTTATTCTTGCTTGTTTTAAGATTTATGTTTCTTGAATTTAAGAGTAGTAACATCCCTTCCTAGACAGGGATTTGTGTGTGTGTGAAGTGAATGACAGTGGAACTTTACTGGCAGTGAACATGGGTCTAGAGGAGAAAAGGAAGCCCATCCAATAGGCTTTTTGCAGACAACCCAGAACAGAGAATCTATTCTCTACATGCTTTCTAGCTCTAGAGTAGAATAACAATTGAGAACTCTGGCTCTGAGGTCAGAACAAATGGGGATGAATCTGAATCATGTCCTCCAATGAGGCATCATTGTTTTATCTTCTGGCATGGTTTATTTTAAGATTTAAGCAATAGAGTATATGTCAAGTGGTTCTGCAAAAGTAGATACCCAATGCATGTTCAATTTTGATCATTTCACTTAGCAATAAGTATGGGCCACATGCAATGATTGCTGCTATGCTCATAGTGCTGTGTATAGCTGAATCTGGAGATGACAAGGTGGGAAACTGAACAGACACAACCACTGAAAGACTTATTCTTATAGCAAAAGGCTGAATCACCTCACATGTCCATTTTCTTTCATTGGGGACTTAGAAGATGGTCTTTATTTTTAATCTTAAAAAAATCAAAACAGCAAAATATCCTAAAACAATAAAGAGCAAACTAAAGTTTTCAGAGATTTCTCGTCTCATGACTAACATTCTTCCTAAAGAGCCCCTCTCAGTCACACACTGTCAGCTTATCTACACTGTGAATTGGAAGAGAAGGTAAAGCTGGGTAGTGCTGAGAGCCTACTGAGTTCCCTACTGTCCTTCATTGCAGCTACAATCTTTGCCTTTTTCTCCCCAGCTCCCCAGTCCACTTCATGTTGCTCAGCTCTCCCCTTTTTATTGGGGAGATAGCACCATCTCCAGGCTGCCTGCCTCCTCCTGTCATTTTCACCAGACTTCCTCCACACTGCCCTCTGCATTTGAAAAGCCTCCTGTTCTCCATTCATCAAGGTACACACTCCTTCCATTCACAATTTAAGTCGTAGCCTTCTCCAGAAGGAAGCTCCCTTTCTTGAAAGGGATCCTCCCCCTGTCCTAATGAATCCACCATCACAGCCCCCGTAGTTTCTTTACCCTTCACTTTGTACCTCAAAAAATGTGGTGGGGAGAACAGCAGTGAGCGAGCGAGGAAACCTGTGTTCACACAGACCTAGACAGACTCTGACATTAAGATTAGTCTCATTGTAAGAAAAAGGAATCAGTTGGTGCGAATATTTTTCTGAAACTGGTAACAACCACTCATTGGGGCGAATATGTACTGGTTGGTTGGATGGATGGATGGATGGATGGATGAATGAATGAATGAATGAATGAATGGGTGATGAGGACTAGCTCCGGAGCACTTTTCGTGGACGCTCCTCCTTCCTCCTGCTGCTCCAGAAGAGGCTTCTGTTTAACCCTGCTTCTGTGATTGAGCGCACTCCTCTGCCTCCACTCTGTCCCTTCATCACCACCTCTTGACCCGAGCCTAAATCTCCTTGCTAAATAGCATGATACAGAGCTCATGAAGGCCTCATGACTTCATCTCCCCGGTAAACCCACCCAACCTGCACAAAAGCCTTACAGATTCCCCTACACTAAGCAAATCCACCTGGAGGTCCTTGTCCCTCTCCTTGGGCTTGTTGTAATCTAGGTTCTCAAACAGAAACAGTTTCCCTCTTTTCTCTGCAGGCAAACACAAAAATCATGCTAGAGAGCTTTCCTAGTTTGTAAAATCAGAAAACTTAACCAATTTTTTTTTTTATTAGACACCTCACCCCAGAGCAGCGACCTCTTTGTTTGCACCCCAGGAGAAGGGAGGGGTCTCCCAGCCTTGCAGCCTGGGCGGAGGGGAGGTGACAGCCCTTCTGGAGGGTTGCCCACGACCAGACTCACCCAGGACGTTCCCGATGAGAGCCACAACGAACACGATGATGTACCCTGCGATCAGGATCCACTCATATTCTTTTGGGTGTAGGTATTCCCTCCACAGGTACCGCAGGAATTCCTCGTCGTCATAGTCCGTGGGGTTTAAAAACGGCTCTTGAGTTTCATTCAGCTCTGAAGCAGATGACCAGTTGCGACGAGGGAGGGAATCCTCCAATTTGGTGCTGGACATCACGGACTGGTCCGGTTCGGCTTACTGCTGCAAGCTTGTCTCTGCCTGCCCCATGAGCACCGGGGATCCGCGGTGGGAAAGGCTGCGCCGCCGCGACTAGGGGCTCCGGAGCTGGGAATGACGTGAAAAGTTCCTGAGCCAATGTCTCCGGAGCCCTGCGCCCGGCAACTTCAGCGGCTGCTTCGGTGTCTTTGCAGGGGATTTGCACCAGGGGAAGCTGCTGAGGAGCTAGGGAAAGGGAAGGGGAGGCTGCAGCAATGACTGGGAGCAGAGATTTACCTTGACCTCAGCTCCAACTCAATCACTCTTCATTCCAGCAGTGAGTCTGCAACGCATAGCCTTCCCCAGGGCTGAGGGACAGACTGATGAAGCTGAAGAAGAAAAAAAGGGGAGGGGGATAAGGAGAATTGCCTTAGATTGCTTCTTTGTGGATCCCTTTGTGGGTTTTCTATTACTTCCCGCCTGTTTTACATACAATTTCTATAATATACACTGGCACGCGTAAGCCTGTGGTCATAGCTGAAAGGTCAGCACATGGTTAACACGGATCCATTGCTCCACTTGTCTTTGTTATGCAAATGTAGAAATAATCATGAGCCCCTCTAGTCTCAAGCAGCCCGTGCAAAAGTCATGAAATCCAAATATTTTAATATTTATTATAGCATCGCACTGTTTATCATGTGCCAATTTGGCAGTGGGTGGATTGCTAAGGCACTGCCTGCCACTCCTTATCAAAAGTGAGGAGAGGATCATTTTTAATTGAAGGTTGTATTTAACAGGGATTTGTACTTTCAAGGACAATTGTCACAAAACAGCAGAACCTGTTATTACTTTGCTAAATGGATGTAGTATTAAACTGACTCCTAATGAGTTATTATCGTAATAGATTAATGTATCTCTCAACCCTCATCAGAGGAGCTTCTGTTTGCAGTAGACAATTAATGCAGAGACCCAGAACTGTCCAAGGTGGAGAGAATCAGAGACTGCAAGATAGTTAGCCCTAAAAGGAACACATTATAACACAACCTCTCCTCCCAAAGCCCAGTGATCATTTGGGGAAAAGGGGTCTGAAAGAGTGCAAGAGTGAGGAGCTATAGATGATTGCAAGGAATCCGTGTCTTCTGAACACAGCAGGGCAGCTGCACATAGGAACTCACAGTAGTTGTGACAACATGCACAAGACCCGTGCAAATCTGAGCCAGAACAAATCCCAGCATGGAGAGGAGAGCTGGATACAAAGTACCAATCCTTGCAGAAGACTTACTGGCTGCTGTTAGCTGCTAGGAGGGTCATTTTCCCCCCTAAGACTGTACCCTCTGGAAGGCGCCCACCCTCAGTAAAAGACTCTGTATCCCAAAATATCTGGGATCAAATTAGTCTTGATGGGTTAAAAAAAGAAAAAAGAAGAAGAACATAAATTTGGGTATGTAGGCAATGTAGGGTAGCTCTTAGAAAAGTTGGAAGGGGGAGTAAATACGATAAAAATAAGTACAAACTTCTCAAAGAACTAATAAAATGATGATGTATTCATGTATAAATTTAATTTTGTTAGAGTTTTAAGGAGCTGATTTAAATGCTAATGTTATCATCCAAAGAATCATCCATTCCTCCAGAACTGTTGGCCTCCATGAAAGAGGGGAGCAGGCCTTCTATGGACTTCATTCAAATCCACTGATACAAATCTGGTACCTGTTGAGGGCTGGTGTCTTCCTATGACTTATTAATATTTAATCTTGCTTTCCTACACTATCCATTTCAACTGTGAAGGTGTGTTGTACCTTTAATACCTTTGATTAGAGTTATATTTGTTAGTGTCTGCAGATTCCTTTCTATTGATGATCTATAAACACGGGCTCCATCTGCCATTTCTGAGTTATTGTCATTAGCTGTCATTGCACAGCATTTAACCTGTCTATACTTGTCTTCCATTTAAAAGTCTTCTGCTGTGATTAATCATGCCCATGTGTTACAGTTGTCAGTGGGGGGAAGAGATGAGAGCATCTTCAAGACTTTATTCCAATGTGTGCCTTATGCTGTAACAAGCCTAGATTTATCTCCAGTCGAAGAACATTCCATTTCCTCTTCTCTGTGCTTTATCAGATTCTTTCGCTAAAGTCTGTGTTACTCCAATGCCATAAAAATTCCACCTAAATGTCCTAGTTATAATGCTCTTTCCATTTCTCTAAGCACAAGAGAGATGATTAATATCTCAGTCCTTCTTACTGTTACCAACTGGGCCCTTCTTTATGCCTGCTGACATCTTTTGCAGTTTTCTCAGGCTACCATTCACTTTGAAATCTTTCTGCTGTGAATAAGATTTGATGTCAATCCAATATCAAGACACAATATTATTTCTTATTTTAAGGTTGCCACATTAAATTCTCTAAATTAATTAATATTTTCAAAACAATATCTTGCATTTGGAAGTAATATGAATCTGCTTTTAAAATAATATTTTAAGATGTATTATTTCATTGCTTTTGGTCTAAAACCCAGAGTAAATTATATGATTTCTCAGCACAAATATTATTTGCTGTACATATAAATTTCTGCATTAACACTCTCCATAAAAATGAAATGTCTTTTTTAATACTCAGAATAGTTTCTATTAGATATCGTTGACTCTCCTAGTGACCTGAATATATTACAAATTAGTCAGGGTGGGGAAAATAACTCACAAAAGCAGGTTTTTTAAAAATTATTTCCTAGTGGTTTTACTTAGCTTGCTCAGCAAACTCAGAATACACTTTCTGTTCCATATACTATTTTCTTATTTCTAGAATGAAACCATTTTGTTGTTTTTATTTTTTCAAGCCTACATAACCTTATGGATCCATTCCAGTATATTTTTCTGAGTATTTACTCTCTTTATAGCAATTTGTCTAGAAACAAATGCCATAGATATGAGTAAGATCACCCGCAGTGACCAGTTAGTTGACTGGGTGATAAATGTTTAGGTTTTCAAGTCTCTGAGTTGTTGGGATAGAAAGAAGCACATGATGCTATAAGGTCATGAAGGAATATGTCAGTCAGCGAGCACAAACCAAGAGTGGATGGCTTTGTCCTCAGAACATTCCTCCAGCTGTCTCCTTAAAGGACAAAGAGGAAGGCACCCAATGACTAAAGAGGAAGGCTTTCAAGCAAAAGAAATTGGAAAACCAGAAGCAAAGGGGTAAAATGAAGCAAGGTTGGCTTTGCAACCATCATTGGTAAGAGTGTAGCAATTATCTTGAAAAGACAGAAAAGAGGGGTTAGCAAAGCTGCAAAGCTGTGCTATAGGAAGAGGCTGTGCCAGGCTGTGGAAACTGACTGGAGTCTTGTTTAAGTCCTCTGCAGGCTGTTGTGGATTCATAAGTGTCATGGCCATCTCATGTTCAAAAGACAGCATCTCATAGTTTTTCTCCCTATTGTCTAGCTCTTACATTCTTTCCAATCCCTCTTCCACTATGTTCTCTAAGGGAGAATGTGGGTGTCCCATGTATGGCTGCATACTCAACAGTCACATATTCTCCACATTTTGACTCTAGGTCTCTATATTAATTAACTGCAAATGATAACTTCTTTGAAAACTGAAACAGTCTATAGTTATTAATACAAATATTGTGGAAACAGTTGTTTAATATGTCTGTTTAGGGAAACAAAAGTAGTCAATTTACTCAAAGTGCTTATGGCCTTCCCAGCCATAAACCTTTGACCAGGTTCCCAATATTAGGTATTAACTCACTCAAATGGGGTGAGACTCAGAATAACCAGAAATATTCTTGCCACTACTGCACCAGTAAGCACTTCTTACCTGGCAAGTTGGTATTGCAGGTTTCAAGATCCAAAGGTGGAAAAGACTTCTGACTTTCCTTCCACAGAAGCCCACATGGAAATTTTGGGCATTATGAAGGCCATACAGCTTGAAGGAAGCTTCTATCTCATTTCCCACATGGTCTCTTTGAATTTTACAACTAAGATTTCTCACACCCTTTTGATTCTCAGAAGGTTCTGTGTTCCTTTTTGCCTCTTGTCCTGTATTATTAAATGCTTTTTACCGCATGACTCTTTCATGGAAATGATTGTTGGGGGATATTTGGTATAACAAAATGCTGAATGTCTAATAGCTAGGAAGGAGGTATAGGCAGGATGTCCGGGAAGAGAAAGGAAGAGGAAGACGAATCTAGGCACACAGGAGAATCCAGGCAACATGAAGAAGAAACAGAAGGTGCAAGATGGAAGATTCTAACACCATGTGATAGAATGTAGATTAAATGGATTAATTTAAGTTATAAGAGCTAGCTAAGATAAAGGTCAAACTTTTATAACTAATAAGAAGTCTCCCTGTTCTTTTTTTGTGTGTGAGCTGGCAGCCTAAAGAAAAATCCATTTATATAAGCCACCAATGTAGGGCTTAAATATCCAAACATAGAGCCTTAGAAAGCTGAGGAAAGTTCTGACTAAGGAGCCAGATATGGCTTCCCAGTCCTGCAGTCTCTCAAGCAAGCCAGTGCTTGGTGGTGCAGAGACACGGCCACCAGCTGCTTGCTGTAGGCTAGAGCCAACCACCACTGTCATGTGCTAAGATGAGCCACACAATGGCTGACATAGCAGTTTAAAGTTTGTCTCATGTGATTAGAGAACACTGAAAGTGTATCATAAAGCCATGTCCAGACACAGAAAACCTCTAAAAAGGCACAGTATGTTAAAAAAAATGTGCTTAGATGCTAAATAAATGAAAAATGGATACAGTCATAAAAATTGTTTAAAATAATAAGTAAAGTCTTTAAAAAATAACATAAAAAGAATAATCCATGTAAAGATGGGAAATACACAGGGTGTCTGGATCTTGTGTGGCGTTTGGTTGACTTGAATTTTTTAAATACTAATGTGCAAAATACAATAACTACTGAGACAGATTGGATTGTGGAAACTTCTAAATCAAAGCAACCTATATAATTTAAAAATGTTTTAACTTCAAAATGGAAGTCAGAAAATATGTTGCATTGTGGGAGAGATTATAGCTTTGTTTCTACAGGAAACAAAAAGTCATAGCTCTCTTAAAAATTAATAAAGATCAGATTTGATCAGGAGACTTCCTAGAAATCTTGGCTACAGACATGAAGAAAGAAACCAAGAAAGACTTTAAATTAGGTGCATATATGCTGGACCCTCTACGTGGAAACAGCTCTGGCACTGGATGAGACATGATAAATCTTGCTGGATACAGAGTCCCCATGCTTTATTATTATAAGCCATCCTTTTAGGTTTCCACAGAAAACACATTGCCCAGTTTTATGTAGTAGTTCTAAGGGTCTGGAGAGATAGCTCAGCTGTCAAGATAAGTGGCTACTCTTTCAGAGGATCTGGGATTGATTCCCA